GTCCAATAACCAGCTAAGCATTTTTTATCAATACTTTATGAAGATTCTGCTCAAAGGAGACAAGATTAAGCATTTGTATGCACATTCTTGCAATTAGAAAAATGCAACATATCACGGAAATTTTTTATAAGATCAATTTCAAGAATCCAACCTGAGAAGCAATATCCACACCAATCTCATCAAGCACCTGATAATCAACAATATAATTAGGGTTGTAAGGAAAAACTGAATAGGAATTATTCCAATGAAACTAAAATGAAATAAATAAACAAATAGTCAATAAATAAAATATCTCACCTGGTTGGTGAGCTCCTCTGTTTCCTCTTCAGCCTCATCTTTGTCTAAAGTTTCATCAATAGCTTCCGACATCATCTCTATCTGCAAAAAGAACAAGCAAACAACCATTACAAGACATGCTAGGCACCAACAATGAAGAGAAACTGCCACTCTCACACAAGTTGATCCAAGCTCTAAGTTTCTCCTGCAAAGATTTCAATATAAAGGAAGGTATGCATCCTTGCATTGAGGACAAGGTGGATCAATCTAATTAATTATTCGCAATCAGAACCGTATTCGTGAGACTTGGTTATGTTTATTCTACGTTGCATCACTTTCTAGGTATGGTTACCAGGTATTATAGTTCTCAAGGCTGAAGATTGTATGTGAGAGAATCTAAAAGTAAAAATATTCCAAGAAAACAAAGAGTATTACCGTCATGTCCATTTGTGATGACTGCTTTTGGAATTCTTTTATTACTTTTGCTTGCTTTGTAGGAGCCATTTGCTGCAAAAGGACAGAAAATGCAATGATCAAATATGAGAACCATCTAACCATGAATAATAAGCAGAAGAAAATGCAATGAACCATTTTGTAGAACAAAAGAGGCTAGTATAATGTTTTCCACTATATAATCTTCTTCACCAATCAGATCATTGACTCCTTATTTCTAGGGCCAAGCTAAGCAGCTATGTATGTAAACATCAGATTGGCATGACTTTTTGTTACACAAGAATAGTAGCGGATCTTGAGATTTGGTTTTTGGGGGACCAACAAAGAAAAACGTATCTTATTATATGTACTAATATCTAAATGCATACCTATATGCAAGAAGTATATTAACAAAAAATAACAAGCACAAAAAATTATTAATTTTATCAATTCATAAACAAATGCATAGAGAAACAAAATAAAAGTAATTAAAACGCGTTTGGCTATTTGGGTTAGAATTTTATGGAGAAAACTATAAAGTCAATTTGACTTTTGTTAAGTTTACATGATTGTAACTTAACACTTGTGACAAACTTGTTGATGATTTTAAGAGTTTGTAAATAATGACTAATGAGTACAATAAATGCACAAATAGCAATGCATAAAATTAGGTTATGAGAACACAAATATAATTTTTTTATATAAAAAAATAATTTTAGTTTGGAAGGCCACTTAAATTCATTTAATATAAATACATAAATAATATATATAGCTTCAATTTTTTTTTTTTGGGGGGGGGGGGGGGGGCATGGCCCCCCTCAGCTGCTATGGATCAGCCATTGCATAAGGACTTCATGGTTGCAAAAAACAATGTATAACATTTATCTAGTGCAAGGTTTTAAATGCATACCTTGTTCATCGCCACCATTGCCTTAGTTGCACCTTTCATTCCTGTAGATATTGAGGTACTGGCATATAATGCCTGTGAACAAATAAAATGAAACATTTAAATTAATGGTGTTACAAACTTTAATCATACCAACAACTAATTTCTTATAGTTGAAACTCAACCTGTGTATGAGTTGCTACACCTCTGATTTGGGCACGACTCCCCTGCAAATTAGTTATTTGTTGCCGCAGTCGAACAAGTTGGCGAGCTAAAATTCTAGTAGCAGCCTAAGAAACACAAACAGAAAATTAAATACAAAAGAACGAGCTGAGAGTTTGGGGAATTAATGGAATCATTTGAGCAAAGTCCAGTGCAGATTTCTGATAAATATAGTTAAGTATTTAAGTAAACAAACAAATTCCATAAACATACAGTGAGGTGTTTGAAATCACACAATGATAAGATTTTAAGTTCTGCTTCCAGAGATGAGGTATGCATTTATTCCACATCCTGAATGTTCAAGATACAAAGGAAAGGCAATTCAAAATCTGTATATAATCATTTACAGCTTGTTTATATGAAAAAAGGTTAACGATGGTAATTGCTAGCACATCCTCAAGATAAAATTTTAAGCCTGCTAGTGCAACTTTTATAATCTTAACTCATGCGAAATGTTTCAGCCCAAAAAGCTACTAACAGTTAACACATGCACCTGTTACTTGATAACATAATGCTACTTGGGACTGGTTACAAACCACACACACAGTCAATGGGGTTTATGCACAAAACTTGAGCCTTGATACTCTAAATGTTTAAATCCCAAAATATGCCAGTTCTTATTCATTGCTTATCGAACTGTAGCATGTGCAACTCCATCATACCAAGAAACCGAAATGTGTTAGTCTTGAGGCTATGTCTCACATGTGCACTCAGCACATCTTTTAGTTTTGGAACAATCGTAATGCTTTAAAATAAAAACACCTCATTACCAACATTAAAATAACCTTAACTTAAAATTAGAAATATAAACAGACTTGATATGTTGATAAATTTCATCAATACTTCCTCACCATTCAAATTTATTTCTCTTTTCAACTAAATTACAGCTCATATCTATATGGTTTTCAAAAAATATCACTAGCAGTAGCACATTTCTTTGAAACTAGAAATAAACTTGCCTCGTTTCCAGTTTTGGCCGTCATCTTGATCTCTGCCACCAACTTCTTTTCCTCCAGCTGAAGAGATGCAATCTCACGTTCAATGCCTAGAGAAAAAAAATTAGAAGAATCTAGATTAAAACAGACATGACTAATATTTTTAACTCTAGATGAATAATAGGAGAGCAAAGGACAGTTTGAAACATCAAAATTAGACCAGTGATTCGTGTATTCGTGTCATAAATTGCTGTCAACACAAAAATATAAAATATATTTTTTTGGTTTTGTTAAACTTATATATAGTTATTGCTAAAATTTTAAGCTGTGTCACGTTGGTATCCTATTTTTACGTTTCATGTTTTAAATTGCCTTGTTTAATCAAAATAAGCATAGGATTTGTATTTTGGAATTCCCAAGCAATACATGGAATGTAATTTCAGGTTCAATGGAGGAAGAATGATCAAACTTCAGTGTAATATTATAAGAATTTCATTTTCAGGTAAAGAAAACCCAAACATACCTCTGGTTGCAACAGCCATTTCTCTCTTGCTAGTCCGCAAAACATCTGGAAAATAAAAATAATAATAATAACAAAAACAAAAACAAAATGCTGAATAAAAAGTAGAAAAGTAGTGTAGGAATCTGAAATACCTTTGGGAGATGTCTTCTTCTTGAAGATGTTCATCATGGAATGACTGATTTTTTTCTTCAAAAAAAAAAAAAAAACCCCTAAGAAAATGTGAAAGCGGAAAGAATCTAGGCTTCCCTAAAACCCTTTGAATTGGAAATGGAAATAATAGCAGTAAGAAAAGGAGAGTGGGAGCGCGTGAAAGGGCCCGGCCTCGGGGAGCGTGCCAGTGTCGGCCTCTTCTACTCGTCCAACGGTACGACTCCCTCGCACCTCAAACTAGCCGTTATAATGGCCTTTTTATTTGTTTATTTATTTATTATTTTCCTTTGCCATTACACTTCAAAAGCAGAATCAAGTGCTTTGACTCAAAATTTCTTAAAAAAATGATAATATATAAAAAACAAATATTTATTAAGATTTTTATTGTTTCACTTTTATCTTTCAATAATTTATAAAATTATAAGAAATCTTATATTTTTTTCACATTTATTTTTTATTGAGTTTAATTTCTTTCTCTTTTATTTTTAATTAATAAAAGTATTTATTTATTTATTTTATTCATTTTAACACTTATGATTTTATTTAATAAAATTAGTTAAATCTTATTCTTATTGATTAAAAATAAATTAAAATATTATTAAATCTTTTTTTTCATCTAATTTCATTTATGCATTAATTAAGAAATCGAATCTCGTAATCAACAAGTGATTAGTTTAATAGGTTAGGTTCGTTTTCTTCAATAAAAAAATTTTAGATTCAAGTCTTGTCGATAATCATTTGTTGGAGTCATCTTAAATATACAATCTGTAGTTTCATCTCGAATATATGATCTGTAATTAGTTGTCTTAAACAGTCAAATATGATATATTTTATTTTAATTTAAGAGATTGAATAATTTATTTACTCTTAAATTAAAAAAAAAAAACACAATCTAAACTTGTTTTTATAATACTTTTAGAAAATTTATTTGATTTTTTATTTTTAATAAAACAATCATAATGCATTCAAAATTTTATTTTTGGAGTACTTCCCGCAAACGATCAATCATAATTCACAAGAAAAGAAAATGATTCTTTCCTTGTCAACTACACTAAGCCCTGAGTCTTTAATAATGCTCCCATCGAACTAATCAGTGTGAAATTTTGCAATATAAAACTACATAAAGCTTAGCAAGTAAGGTGGATTTAATATAAGTAGGGAGTAGGGACGACAAGGGGTGGAGTTAAAGTTTTAATGTGTTTCAAATTTGATTAAATTTTTAAAAATTTATTCAACTTCTATAAAAGATATTCGATTTTTACTCAATACATATATGTATAATTTTTATTTAACTCAAAATTAATTTAATTATTTTAATTTAATGTTATATTCATAAAGTTATTATTTTTTAATGTAAATTATATCTTCATTATATTTAAATTAAGTTATTAAATAATAATTTTATTAATATATATACATATATATAAATATAAAATTAAATAAATAATAAAATATTTATTTATATATATCTTGAGATAAATTGAGACAAAATTCATTAAAACTCGTCTTCAATCCAATTTAATTTATTTAGAAAAAAAAAAAAAGCTTACTTTGTCTTTAGCCCGACCTTCGATTTTTTAAAAAAATCATTTTTATGAAATCAAAGTAAGTTAAAATTTGTTAATTATAAATTATTTTATAATCCTTAAATATAAATAAAAGGTGTCTATGGGTTTGCCAAATCATGCTAACACATCTACGGACTTGTTTAAGGTTTGATTCATCCGTCATAAAAAGTTCATTTAGTCCTGTTATTTAAAATACTTAAAATATATTTTATATTAATATTTTAAAAGTTTTAAAGCTAAAATTAAATAAAAAATAAATTTTATTAATAAAATAATATTTCAAATGATATTCATCTTTGAAAAATACCATCTAATGCCTAACCATTTCAAACCAATCATGTGAGTAGTGATGATAATTGATCAAATCGAGACATTTTTTTTAATTAAAAGAGTTCATAATTAATAAAAAAAAAGAAATGAACAAAACATAACAATTTTTATTTATAGCTTATAATAAAACAAACTTAGAATATATGGATCATAGCATCTCTACAATCCCATGATATCACTTTCACATGAACTATTCTTAGCACAAAATGCTTGTCCTGACCCAAATTCTCCATTTGCATTTGTCCATCAAAGTTACCACAAGAGTTAAAAAAGGACCTTCATCCGTATCTTTACTTCCTCTAAATTAGTAGCAATTTTTATGGAGGTTCAAACCTCTATATGATTATGAATAATTTCAGTTATAAATATAAATGATATATTAATATTTATAAATTATTTGAATTCGATTCGAATAAAATTTGAATTCGATTCGATTATTATCGAGTCGAGTTTGAGCTCGAATAATTTGATTTATCAATTGAGTCAAATTTAAATATTTTTATATCTGATTTGAATAACTTACGAGCCTAAATGAATTTTTATATTTTAATATATTTTAATTATTTTAATTAATAAAATATCTCAAATTTGATTTTAAATTTGAATACAAATAATCGAATTTTTGTCAAATGTAATAATCATTTTTTTATATATTAATCAAACTTAATCAAACAAGCTCGAATAATTCAATTTTTATTTCGAGTCAATTTTTATTAAAAATTTTTTTAATTAAGTTTAAATCAAATTTCGAGTTTCGAATTTAAAATTAAAGTTGAATTTAAACTTAATATTATATCAATTCAGACTAGATCGATTACACCAATGATCTTAGCAATTGACAACTCTTTTTCTCCTCAATGGGCTCAATATGTTTTAATTAGGATGATGAGTCTGAATATAGTGATAGATTCAAAATAATTTTTCAAAAATATTCATTTATAATACATAAACAAAATTTAAAAATAATTTTAAACCTTAATCAGATCATTCTTTTGATGAATCATAATAACCTCAATCCCCAACATGTCTCGTTGATGCCTCACCTTTTATTCAACATATTTTAAATTTATTTCGTAATATTTTTTATTCAACATATTTTAAATTTATTTCTTAATAAAATGTATTTATTAGTAACCCACCAAATTGCAATTTTTTATTTTAAAATCAAAATAGGAATTCAAACTTTATTTTCAACAAAAAAAATCATGTAATTATGTACTAATTAATCCGGTCAAGTACCTCTCATCGTATTACCAAATGAAGCTTTAGTAAATCATTTTCTGGTTATTACATCGTGGTTTATTAATTGATTATTCAGTGATTTATATAAATGTAATGCAATGTATAATATCTCTTGTATTTATAAACTCATAAAAAATTATCATATATTTTTATTTTTAATTAATTTTTTAATATATCTTAATTAGGATATATATTTTTTAAAGTTACAATTATAATCAAATATTATATTTATATAATTAATTGAATAATCAATTAATAAATTATAATTTAATTAAATAATTAAACCCATATATAATAAATTTTGAACTTATGACTTTAAATTTTTAAAATCTCTTATTTATTACTAAATCAAAACTTTTTGACAAATACATGATACATGTTAATTTTACTGGTAAAATTTAAAAATTTTAATGACAGTAAATAAGATAATCTTTGGTATAATGATAAATATTTTTTATTAATATTTATTTATTTTTTGTTGTGACCCATAGCCTTGAAAGTTTTTTTTTTTTTCTTGAGATTTGGGAATATTAGAATTTAGACCTTAGTTAACTTATAATAGAGGATTTAGTATAGATAAGCATGGCTTAACGATTCAAGTTGTCGCCAAAGACAACCTAAGTTCAAAACAAGTGCAGAAACTTGAAATCACTTCATTAAAAAAAAAAAAAACCCCTTTTAATTATAGTAGTTAGGGTTGTCAATAATATTTGAATTTGTTGAATTTCAATTGGACTTACAAGATTTTTTTTTAAATTAAATTTTGGGTTAGATCAGATTTTTTTGAAATAAAGTCGGTAAACATGTTTCGATCCAATATATATATATATATGTATATATATAATATTTTTTATTATTTATTTAATTTTATATTGATATATATATATAATATTAATAAAATTATAATGTAATTAATTAATTTAAGATATTAAGTTAATAATAAAACTATATTTATGTAATTAAAATATAATTTATATTAAAAATAATATTATATAAATATTATATTAAATTAAAATTATTAAATTAATTTCAAATTGAATAACATCAATTATAAATATATATATATATATATAAATCAAATCGGATATAAAAAATATATTTTAATATCAATTAAATTCAAATATTTATTTTATAAAATTAAATCAAATTCAAAAAAAAAAAAAACGAAAAACCCATTTTGACCCGCCGGACTCGTTGCCGTATCTAATAGCACTTCTTTTATCTCAGCCTTCTAAAACAGGGTGAAAATATAAAATGACATTGGAAGAGAGTGAGAAACAACAGTTTCAAAACATTATTCATTTTTAATTAATAGAATAAAAAAACTGCAGATTTAAGTTTGTCAGATTCTTGGCTCTTTCCTAAACATGTAATAGATGAAGTGAACTTTTCCAATATGTTTCCAAACAACAGCCCATGTTCTAGTTTTTTATTCAGACAACCTTATCATTATTTTCTTTTTTTTTTTCCTTAGAGATATCTGTCTTAGCCCTCCTACTCACCTGATTCGGTATCTTTCTACCTCTCATGTTCCATTCCTTTATTTTTATTTTCAGCTCAACTTGGTGTAGATCTGCAAGATTACTTCTTTTTCAGTTGACCAAAAAGTTTTTCAAGAGAAAGTTTTCAGGCAGGATTTTCTACTTTGTTTATGGTTTTCAAGGGGAAAAATCAAATACCCAGATTGAATCCACTGAGGTAAATTTATGTTTTTGCTCTTAAAGGGAAATGCATGTTGTTCAAATTGCCGAGATATAAATCCCAAATATTTGTGTTACATTTTATTAATAAATTCCTTCCTCTGTTAAGGCTTGATGATAAAGGGAAAAGCTTTGATGCATTTCTTGGAAATTGGAAGTAGTTTATGTAACATGCTGCTATTCAATTAGGAACCTTTTCATCTTGTTTTCTTCATAAGAATATAGGAGAAAGAGAGGGAAAAAGGGTTTAGTTTCTTCAGGGAATGCGATAATGGGGAAGGTCCAGGGCAGGGATTTGTTGTCTTTGCTCCTTGTTGTGTTATTATCTGCATTTTTTAGAAGTGGAGAAGCTCAGTCAAAGTCTTTTCTGATAAATTGTGGTTCAAATTCTAGTGTCAATGTGGATGGTAGAAAATGGGTTGGTGACTTGACCCCTGATAATAATCTCACCCTTAGTGGTGATTCAATCTTTGTGCCACTCTATAAATCTGCCGCCTGTTCATTGACGAACTGAATTACACGTTTAATGGAATCCAGGGGAACTATTTGTTGAGGCTTCATTTCTGTCCCTTCACCTTTGAGGACCAAAATGCAAATGAATCTTCTTTCGATGTTGTTGCAAATGGTCTGAAACTCCTAGTACAATTTAATGTTGTTGGTGAGATTGCACACAAGAATTTGTACCTCCAAACTTCAGGAAGAAATTCCAGCTCGTTCTCTTTGGTTAAAGAGTATATTCTACCTATCAATTTGGATATACTTGTGATTGAGTTTGCCCGGCAAAGGGATCATTTGGTTTCATTAACGCCATAGAGATGGTCCCTATGATTGATAAGATTTTTGCAGATTCAGTTAGTGAAGTTGGTGGAAATGATGCAAATCTAAATCTAAGTGGAAGGGGAATTGAAACTATGTACAGGTTGAATGTTGGGGGTCCTGAGATTAATCCTAGTCAGGGTTGGGATTATTGGAGAACATGGGATGTGGATTTTGTCTATATGATCACAGCAAATGCAGGTTCTGAAATAAACAATAGTTCTAATATTACCTATGCTTCTGCAAATGCTTCTTCAGTGGCACCTCTTCTTGTGTATGAAACAGCATGAAGCATGTCCAACATCCAAGTCTTGGAGAAAAGGTTCAATATGTCTTGGAGGTTTGAAGTGGATCCTGATTTTGATTACTTAATCCGCTTACACTTCTGTGAGCTGGTTTATGATAAGCCAAGCCAGAGGATTTTCAGAATCTACATAAATAACCCGACTGGAGCGAATAATTATGACCCTGTTGTGAAGGCAGGTAGAATAAATAAAGCTTATCATCAGGATTACTTTGATGCAGTTTCTTCAAAAATCAACACCCTTTGGATTCAACTCAGTCCTGATACAGCAGCTGGTGCTTCAGACACTGATGCTCTCTTGAATGGGCTGGAGATTTTCAAGCTTAGCCGAAATGGAAATCTTGCCCACATGCAGAGATATGATTCAATTGTGAGTTCAACTCACACTTCAAAATCTTGGGTTCTTTGGGTGGAAATTGTTGCAGGTGTAGCCACTGTTGCCATTCTTGCAGTTACTGTTGCTCTTATATTTCGTTTCCGCAAAAACCAAGGAAAAGAATCAGGTGACACTAAAAACAACACGCCTGGGTGGTGACCATTGTTCCTCCATGGCTCCATTTTAAAAAGCACTGCTAATGCCAAGGGATCGTCTAGACTTCAAAATCCCAATGGATCTATGGCCTCCACTGGAGTTGGCAAGCAATTTACGCTTGCAGAGATTCGGGCAGCAACAAATAATTTTTATGAAAGTTTAGTGATTGGTGTAGGGGGCTTTGGTAAAGTATTAAAAGGGGGGATTGAAGATGGCACCCTTGCAGCAATAAAGCGGGCAAATCCACAATCTGAGCAAGGGCTTGCTGAATTTCATACTGAGATTGAGATGCTTTCAAAGCTTAGACATAGGCACTTGGTCTCCTTGATTGGATTTTGTGATGAACAAAATGAGATGATCTTGGTCTATGAATACATGGCCAATGGGACTCCTAGAAGTCATCTGTTTGGAAATGACGTCCCACCATTGACTTGGAAGCAGCGATTAGAAGCATGCATTGGTTCTGCCCGGGGACTGCACTACCTTCATACAGGATCAGAGCGGGGAATTATTCACAGGGACGTTAAAACAACAGACATTTTGTTGGATGAAAATTGTGGCAAAAATGTCAGATTTCGGGCTCTCAAGAACTAGTCCTTCTCTGGACCACACCCTTGTTAGTACAGCAGTGAAAGGGAGCTTCGGATATCTTGACCCTGAGTATTTTCGCAGGCAGCAGTGGACTGAGAAATCCGATGTCTACTCTTTTGGTGTAGTGTTGTTTGAAGTTGTTTGTGCTCGTGCTGTTATAAATCCTAGCTTGCCAAAAGACCAGATAAATCTTGCAGAGTGAGCAACGAGGTGGCAGAGACAAAGGTCGCTTGAAACCATTATTGACCCAAATCTGAGGGGAAAATATTCTCCAGAATCAATGGAGAAGTTTGGAGAGAGCAGAAAAATGTCTTGAAGATGAAGGGAAGAAGCAGCCTACCATGGGGGAAGTTTTGTGGTACTTGGTGTATGTCTTGCAACTTCATCAAGCATGGATGCGTGCTGCCAACACCATGGACGATAATTCCTTTTCAAGCAGTCAAGCAGTCGGGCCTCGGGAGATATGGAAGAGTGAGAAGCTGAAAATAGGCAGTTTGATGGAAATTCTGGTCTATCAGAAGCGGCTACAGGTGGCTGTCACTCTCATGGTGAGCTCAGCGTGCCTGATGGCCATTGAAGCGCTATCACAGTAATTGTATTCCCTTCACAATATTATTATTATTATTATATACTAGTAGCTGAAAATTCTTTTATTTTTGCTGTGTTAAACCCGGAAGTTTCCTGGTGTAAGATCCACCATGCAGCAATATGAGAAAACCATGATAATGTTCAATTGATAGTGATGAAATTGGTTAAGAAGTTGAATGTTGTTTAACTTGCAAGTTTGCTTAAGTGTATGTTAAGAAGGGAGGTTAACGGTGAAAGTAAATAAAGTGATCAGTAATAATTGAATAAACATTTTGTATTTATTAAATTTTTATGATTTTAGAAAGTAATATTTTGTATTTCTTGTATGAAAAGAATCAAATATAGGAATCCAATCTTAACACTTGTATATATGAAAATAAGAAGTTAAAAATTTGTACCTTCATGATTGCTATCATATCTATATTATCTTTTATTTCAGTAGACAAAAGATTAATTTTCAATGATAATTAGGTTAATTATTACTAATTTTTAATGATTTAAATAGGAATAGGAAATTAATAAAAAAAAAAAAGCAAGCTTGGATTTAATGCTGAAAGTTAAGAAAGACTCGAAAACAACATACATGAACAAACAAACAGATATAACAATAGCATTTGGTCCTCTAAAAACAAACAAGCATAACAAGCCAATAGCAAGTAGGTCATCAAACATGCATTGAAAAGTTTTGAGATCAAATATCAAATTTACTGGCAATGCTGCAACAAAGCTGCTTCACAGCTTCAAAGTCGTTATCGTTGAGGGAGAAACAGCTCAGTCGTTTAAGCATTGCATCCTCAGTAACTTCATCAAATTCATACCTGTTCTTGAACAAAAAGTAACCCCCACATTCCCAAGCTGAAATTGCATGTGAGGCTGCAAATGGCTGCTGTTGGATGGATTCAAATTAATCCATGATCAGTATTCAAGAAAATATCAATTTTGGAAAAGGAACCTGTCATGGAATCTAGGGTGACATGTTTTGAAATTTGGACAAAAACATAGAACAAACAGAGTATGGGGGAAATGCAACTAAAGTTTGTGGCCATGAATTTCATTGTGACTACAGATTATTTATATGCATCATAGAAACCATTATATATCATCTGTGAGATTAGCTTTGCATTTTTCGTCCTGCTGTTCTTCAAAAATGACATCCGCATCGATGCTACAGATGCTGCACTACCCTCTTATGCTCAAAAATTAACAATCTTCCGTTTGAAATTTGGTTTATGGAGACAATGTTCAAGTGCCTAATTGCCTATTTTTAAACTTTAAGTATCAAATCAAACATTTGACTATAATTCAAGTACCAAATGCATAATTAACCCAAAGTTTTAAAGGACAACTGCCTTGGAAAGGTTGAAACTGACTACACAGTCCCCTTTCATACTGGAGCAAGAAATACAAACACATATACATATAAATCTATGCATATGTATGTACATGAATTATTCTACTCAACTGTGGAAAAAAAAACTAATCAGATATCAAGTTTCACCAGTAGGAAGGAAAAAAAAAAATCTCCAAGCTTTGAGCAGACTTACTTACCTGAAGAAACAAAAAAATCTTTTTGCCAGAATCAGATATCATCAGATTATACTGAACGTTCTTTTCCTCTAAATGAGAACAAATCTCAGAAATAGCCACTGCCATTATCTTGAGATTACGGGTGGTTTGGAAAGAGATGGTCTTAATAGGATAATCGATGACAGAACATATGTGAATCCCTCTCCTCCCACCACTTAAGAGAGTATCTACAGGCCTGAACTCCACAGGTAAAGGGTCAGAGAAGTAGCAAGCCTGCATCATTAAATTAAAGAATCATGATAGCTATAGGATGTATCAAGAACAAAGAATATACCTACTTAAAGGAATAGCATACTGGTATTATTTGAAAAACAGATATAGGTATTTATCTATGAAATTGACTTTGTTACAGGCCATCCATTACACACATTCATTGATCCCCCAAAGCAAAAATAACTAACATTTACAACCAAGACCTTCATTTACAGTGAAAGAATCTAAAGCATTAAACAAAAAGAAGCAAGAATGGTACATTTCAGTAACCAGAACTTGCATATTAGGAAAAAAGTGATGGAATTTTAAGAGGCATAAAACCTTAAGTAACAACTAGACCAGTGCTCTATCAAATCTAGGAATAAAGCAGAGTGATTGAAACAGATTTCTTAACCCATCACTCCAAAAATTTAAAATTAAAAAGATGTCAATAATAAAGTCTACAGCTGCATATAATCTGAAGTTGATGTTGCTGACACTGTTGTGGTAACAAGCTTATTATTATTATTATTATTATGGGGCGGGGGCAGGGGCATTTAACCATACTTCTAACTGTTGTGAAATGCACCGTATGTTTTTATCATATAATTTATATTAAATTTCAAATTCAAATCCCTTTGTTTAAAATCAAACTCTCAATGCAACCATATTATCGGATTGGAAATCAACATTTGGACAGGCTGCAGTATGGTTTGGATTTTAAAATTAAAAAACTATACTTTTAGGAATTATTTAATGGCCCGTTCAGGAACCAATAGTAGGGGTTGGTATTTGGGTTTGAATTTTAGAATCCAAATATATTATGTGGGAATGACTTAAAAAGATGAATTTAGATTTGATGAATTTAGATTTGGGCCAAATCTACTAGGAATTTTAAAAGGTTCAAACCTTGAAATTTCAAATTACTTTTTGAGGTTAACATTTGTCAAATTTCGCAAAATTAAGAATCTACCAATTTTAAAATTTTGAAGTCAAATCCTAAATCTATCCAAACAAGAATTTCAAATTCAAAAGTTTTAAATCAAAATAATTGAAATCCAAAATATAAAATTAAAAACCAAATTTTGGTTCCTAAAAACAACCTAAAGAACTGGGTCTGAGTTTGAGCCAAATCCACTTGGAATTTTAAAGGTCCAAATACAATATTCCAAATTAACTTTTGAGGTTGTATTAGCCAAATTCAACCCATTTAGAATTACCACCACTCTCTCTAAACTAAGATTGTTTAAAATCTTGAATTTCAATTTCTAAATTTATCATTGACTAAAAAATTTTTTCTAAATTTATCAAAAGAAGGCATTTCAAATTCAAAATTTTCCCATAAAAACATTTGAAATCTCAGTTTTTTCATGGCATAAAGCACCACTACACAGCCATAACAGATTGTAGTAATATTCTAAAATATAATTCACTAACTTTGAAGCCAAAACAACATACCATTAGACATGCAAAATAAAGCAAAACTGAACAGCCATAAATGATTTAATACCTGAAAATATACATCAGAACAATTAGGTCTATAGCAATTGTAGAACACGCGAAATGAGTGGTTATTAATTTCTGCAGCAATCCTTGTGACCATTTCAACTGTTCTTGCATCCAGGTGCTGATAACGTCTGTTTGAGGTACAAGGTACCAAGTAGACATGGCCATATTCAACTGGAGTTACCTTATAAAAAAAAAAGCCCAAAGACTGCATATATCAGACAAATACAACTTAAAGAACCAACTATATTAATAAAATACCATTGACATAAATTAATACTTATAATGGATATCTAACAGCCATTAAGATATAGTGACACAACAAGGGGCAGCCTGTTGTTCTTCTTGGGTTATACCACCTCCTATTGTATGGTATTTTCTTGTTCCCATCCCAAGCTGGTAGGCTTGAAGGTTAAAACACAGGAAGAGCTCTCCATTGCCACAGAAATAGAAGCCACTTTGAAAGATCATGAAAAAGAGAAGGGACTGAACCTTAATGAAGTTTGGATTGACAGGTTTGGTATCAAGGTAGACACATCATTCCTTCAGGGGAAACTTAATGCAGATGGGATACGGGAATGCCACAACCAAGCCAGTGTGGATCCAAGTCATTCCAGCATCATTTACATGTTTGTAGTTTATGTTATGTGGAACATCCCAACCCCTCCAATTCTCTTTTGTTGAAAGAAAAGATTAGATGGAATAAAATTTCTCTCCATTTAAATATTTGCAGTAATTTGTCAGGACAATAAGTAGCAATGTTTCACAGCATATATCACAAGATTGATAATAGGGGTGTATACCATCTTCACAAAGTAAATAAACTTGCAGTCAAAAGTTAAGCAACACTTGGCCTTACATTGATGATGACTAAGATGGCACTATCAGGCACAGAAGCCACATGAATAAGCTCAGATTTTGCCTTCTTACTGCCGGCAAGACAAAACAGCAATTCCTCTGGGTGTTTCATGCCATCAAACACAAAATGATCCCATGCAGGGAGTGTGCCCTCAGATTTTGCAAGATGATCTGTTATCTGTGCTTCATTCAACTGAGAGAAAAACTTCATCTTTCCAGCTATGACCTACATAATGCAACACAGAAAATATGCATGTCTACCATAGTCCCAAATTTATACTAAAAAATAAACAAAGACTGAAAAGGTATGTATTTTCAGAACTCGAAGAGCCCTATTACTGTAACTAGTACCTTAATTTCTGAGGTTGTCACATCATATCTAAAACAACCTTTCCACATCCGGTCTTCCCACTGCCAAGTAACAGGAAAGATGAATAAAGGTGATGAATAGACGTCAACAAGTATAGCTAAATATTTGTCCTATACCTGAGATAGCAGAAAAGCATCCAACATACTTTGTTCTTCCTCAGCGATGCATGAAAGACCTTCAAACGAAGTGTCTTCCTCAAGAGATTGGCTACCACAGCAGTAAATAGGGAAGTTCATACCTGTAAAAATCCTTCAAGATATTCAAAAACACATTTGAAGGAAAGAAAAACTATCATATGTTAAGAGTCTAATGAACTAGTCATCCTTTTAGCATGTCCTCAATAAAACTTACTTTACATAGCTATAACATCTGTGTCGGCACAACAGTAACAAAAAATAGTGCTATTTACTCCAATGCAAATGGAATTGCACATCCATTCTGCTAGATACAAAGAGAGCTTTGCTCTATAGAAAAAATGCCAAACATCAGCATGTCGCCTAATTTGATGAAGGGCAAGTGTAGTAAACTTACTATACTCCTCACAAGAGGAACTGAAAGTCTAAAATGCATGAGACTTGTGTACATCATAAAATGATGCCAATCAATAAAGAATTTGATTTTCGTATCTTACAATAAGAAGCAAGCCTTTATACATTAATATACCACATATTCCAGAGATTACTAGATTCATGGTCTTCTTTTTCTCTCTCACCATCTAAACAGATGCATTAAGCATGAGTAGAAAACATTAAATTGTGCCACTTAATCACGAAACGACTTTCTCTGAAACTGTTTTTCTTTCAGATATCTTCTCCATTGAACTAAGTAACTACTATGCTTTAGAATCAAATTTCCATCTATCATATCAATCAAAGGATACACAAACCTAGAAATCTAAATTGTACACCAATTCTAAACACCAAATAGAGTCGAAGGATCTCTTTAGGATTCTCATAAGCTTTCTTATTGGATGACAGAAGGCAAGTAGCTTGCCTTAAAAAAATTTTAGCCCATTGCTAATAGGTAAATTCATTACTTTTTTGTTTCAGGTACAAACAAAAGAAAAATGGTTATTGACTTTCTTCATAAGATTTCAAATTTTCTTCATTCTTTAATTTTTTGAGTAGCTTTGTATTAAGATTTACAGATACCTGAAAACATAAGAAAAATGACCATCCCTTTTCATTCTATCAAACACATGTCATAACTTTTAGAGTAAAAAATGATACAAATCGTGTTACTATTTACCAAATACATTTTTTTAGATGCATAAAACACCAGGTAACAGACCAGCTGAGTACGGAAGAAAAAAGAAAAAAAAGGTACACAACAAGATAGAAATCGACCGAGAGTTGAACAAGGCCTTTGCTTTCAGTTTTCAGAAGTCATAGCATGCCTTGCCAGGTTGAACAGCCAAGCCAAGTCAAACCAGGTTTTCCATTGTTCAAGCATGGCTTGAACATTCTATCATTAGTTCAACTCATGAATCTGATCGAACTCAACATATCAAGATACTACATTATGTAGGACAAGGACTCTCAAACGATAATACAAATAGATAATTTCAAAAATATCAATCGACATTCTACACATTCTAACCATCAAGTAGAAATGCAAAATACCAAATATCCTAAGGTTCTTATACTTAGAAAATAAGGAAAACTATTTAATATAAAAACAATATAATATAAAAGGTTTAAATAATCATTTGATACCCAAACTATAACCAAAATTTCAATTTGGTACCTAAAGTTTGAAAATACACAATAAGGTGCTCGAACTATGCTTCCCATTATCAATTTGCACTTGAAACTAACTTTATTAGTTAAATGGGTGATGTATCCAAAGACAGCTAATAAGAACGCAACATATGTCTAGAAAATCCACATCATTTAAAAAAAAATTTCCATGGAATTAAAAAGTCTGGAAAATAAAAAACAAAAAATTACAAAAGAACCGGGGGGAGTGAAAGAGGGAAATTGAGTAAGGAGATAGAAGGAAAGAGAGCAAGAGAAGTTAAGGGGTAAGGAAAGTGGCAGTCAAAGATGGTCATCCCTTCCCCTTTCTATCTCTTCCCTTCCCCCTCTCTCCCCAATTTCCCTCTTTCTGTCCTTTTATTTAATTTTTTCTTTTTTTTTCTGGATTTTTTTCCTTTTGAAAAATTTTTCCAGATTTTATTATTATTTAAATTTCAACAATTAAAATAATTTAAAAAAAAAGAAAAAATGACATGGCAATTTTTAGACACATGGCCCATTCTTATTTGCTATGTTTGGACATATCACACATTTGACTAATGAAGTTAGTTAAATGTGCAAGTTGACAAACATAAACTAATGATGTTAGTTAAATGTGCAAATATATAAACATAAACAAAGTTTGAATACCTAATTGCATGCCCTTTTAGCTTTAGATACCAAATTGAACATATAGTTTGTGTAACAAATGGGTAACTAACACGATCTTAAATCTATATAAAAATTATAATTGAACTCATAAAATAAAATCTTAAGTTCAAGAAACACCTTTCTCATGCTGCATGCACTAAGTCATTTTCAAGCACAATGTTGATGCGTTAAATGCGTGATTTTAGCTTTGTAGGCCTAGATCATCGTAAAATCTTAATCATATCCAAAAAAAAAAAAAAACAGCAAGCAATGAGGGAACTTACACAACTAAATTGGGAGAATCGCTAGTAACAGGACCCACATAGAACTAAGTAAAATATATTAAAGCATAAGGGAGTGGAAGCTGTAATGCCAGATCCTCTCCACTCCTGTATATAGCCAATATTCTAACTCTTAATCACCACATTGCAGTATAAAATGGTGAGAGAAAGAAATCTTCTCATATATATGTTGTTTTCAATTTTTTATTGAAGAAAAAAATAAAATTAAAAACAATTGAAAGTAATAACAAATACAAATGACAAGGCCACTACGCTAAGAGCAAAGTTAGGCTACGGACTACAAGCTAGACTACTTATTCATAAGCTTCAAAATGGAGCTTAAGCATGCTCATTTAAATAAAGAAACAAACATTTAAAAAGCTTTTACTGGGCAAGTAGTACACACATAGTTTGATTCCTTCACAGTTCTAATGTTTTCTAGTAGGAGGTTTTAAAATTTATGTAAAAGGAAAAAAAAGAACACATTAAGGAAGTGATAGTGAATACCTGCATTAATTTTTAAAATCCATTGAAACAGAAAAGCTGAAAAAACAGTTGGGAAATGGAGACCGCAGCTATGATGGTAATAGTTAAAATATATGATGATACTACAAAATGTAAATAACAAAATTCCCCCATTGAACAAATTGAAAAAAAAAAAAGATTTTCGGATTATTGAGCTTCTGATAATTGAGATATTGAGACTAGAGTTTTTAGGCTTGGTGCTTTGAATTTCAGATCACCAAAATTCTTCCTACATCGTTTAACTTCATTGGCATTCAATTTTGACATTGTTCACTCTGCATCAGTGTGAATAAAACTCTAGCTCTATTACAAGACTCATTTGATTTATGAGCAAACCTTCAACTCGACCAAGAATTTTTTAAACTCTTGAATAGATCAATTATATCCATTTAATAGTATTATTTTTATTTCTTATTGTACACATGAGCCAATGAATAGTGATTGATTATGATTTTTCATAATTTAACTTGAAGGATTACCTAATCCCCTAAATATCGTCAACTCCTTTATGATTGTCTCCCTCAGACATCACTGAACATTATCATTGGCACTTTGTGGCATATCAGATGAAAAACATATGTTTTAGGACCATAAGGATATATGTAAAACATCAATATGTTTGCAAGGCCAGGGGGAATTTGTAATTTACATTAAAATTATTCAAACCATGGAAAGGTGAAGACACATTTTGACTGGAGGTGATAAAAACAAGAATTATGCTAATAGTGCAAAGAAACACCACGGAAGGGTGAAGATACACTACAACTGGAAAAGCAATGAGGTAATGAAAGGCAGTAGAACATGCAGTGACACATAAGACATAGTTGAGGGAGAAAAAAATAATAAACCAAAAATCTTAGAATCACATTTCTGTTCAGAAGGAGAATCAGAAATTCAAAATTGACACAAATATTGGTCAATAAGGAACTCTCTAATACTTTACCTGTTACAATAACATAACTAAAAACACTTAAACGGTAATGCATTCTAATTCAATATATGAACACCGAAGAAAACAAAAACAAAGACAGTAAAAGGACTAACCTTGAAGAAAGAAGTGAGAATGTTTTAGCTGCTCAGACTTTTCATTCTTCACCAGAAAGCAGTTATCTTCAAGCCATTTCACTGTAACCATCCTTACAAAAAGTATTCTACAACAACAATAAAATACTGTAGCTCCACTCACAACTTTGCAGATGGTTGAATCAGCAGCCACCACCAGCGAGGAAAGTAAGATCAGCGGGATGCCCACCGGATGAAGGTAGGGCACCACGACCACCATGAAATGAAGGGGATGCAATCAAGAATTTAGGAAAAGCCTGCATACATTGCTTGCCCCTTGTAATTTTTGCACAAGTTTCTTTCCTTAGAGCCGTTTTTAAATCAACAAAGCCAGCCCCAACTGGACCAGCAGATTCCCTCCTCTGTTTCAAAGTCTTTTCCAAGGTAAAAACTGAAAACCATTAGACAGCAGATCAAGCACAGCTCCAAGATACAGGAAAAAAAATAAAAATAAAAACACAAAATGCCATAAAAATTAATGCTTATAACAACTAAACCTAAAACATTTTGATATGAAACCCTAAATCCAATTAAAAGTAAAGGAAAACCTTGAACATATATACAGAGTAACATCACCAGCATTCCAAATTTTGATAATTGTCTTCTATCTTCGTAACTGTGATAAATTTATACCAAATAAAACAACAGGAAAATCTTCAACTAATTCAAGATATTGCCGGCAACATCAAATTTTTATTAATTTAATGGTATGAATTGAAAATGATAGAGAAAAAAAAAAAGAGAAATTAAGTTTAAAAATGAAATTAGAAATTACACACCTTTTTTTATTTTCACAATGTCGTCGCTGCTTCCCTTATATCTCACTTCCTCTCGATGCGTATTGATTTGGAATTGCTTGACACTTTAGATAATCTTCTGTTTCGTTTGTGTGGAATAGGCAGTTGCCACGTGTTATTTTATTCAATAAAATAGAATAAAATAGAAAGAGGTGTGACAGGGAGTGGAGCGTTTTTTTTTTTTTTAGATATTCATATCCGATTAATATTAATAATATATAAATCTGTATAATATTTATTTAAATTTAATATCATTATTTGAATTTAAATTTATTTAAATAAATATTATTTATTTAAATATATAAAATCTTTAAAATATTTATTTATTTGAAATTTTTATCAAAATATAAAACAAATAAGAATTTAATTTAAAATTTAAGTTTATTTTTAATTAATAATAAATAAAATTTATTTTTTAAGATTTAAAACTTTCTATAAATATAAAATTTTATATATTTTAATACATAAATGGATAATTTCAAATTCGAATCCGTTTACATAAGTATTATTTGTTTAAATATCTAAAATTATTAAAATATTTGTTTATTTAAATTTTTTATTAAAATATAAAATAAATAAGAATTTAATTTAAAATTTAAGTTTATTTTTAATTAATAATAAATAAAAATTATTTTTTATGGTCTAAACTTTCTACAAATATAAAATTTTATATATTTTACATATATAAATAGATAATAGATGAATATAAATTCATATATTCAATACTATTTATTAAAATTTAGACAAATTTTACTATTAAAATATTTAAAAAAATATTATTCATATTCATTTCAAATATATCACGAATAATAAATTTTTTATACGAATTAATTAATTATTTTTTATAATTGTTTAAATTCAATATAAATAAATATAATAATAATAAATATCTATTTATTTACTATTTATTACCATTCATACCGACTGAATAAAGGTCACAAGGAAACATGCGCCATTAGAAAACCTTCCCTGGTTCATTTCAAAACCCTAAAAGGAACATCAACAGGAAGATTAGATTCGGGAAAGCTTGATATCTCTCTAACGTCTCATGAAAAACAATTTATACACTTATTAATTATATTATCATATGAAATTCCCATCACATCCCAAAATCAAACTATACCAACACATTAGATAAATACTAAAGTAAATAATTTAGGTAAGATCTCGATTCTCTTTAAATAAGACATCGATTTTGAATTTTATAAATACAAAAGACAGACATTAGGAGAATTTATTTTTTTATGAGATTCAATCCGATTCGATTTTAAATTAGCTAAAATTTAAAATAATTATTAAACATAAAAAATCTTAAATTAAAAAAATAATAAAATTTATGCAACTTCTATATAGGATTAACAACGGATCGAATCGAGACAGGTTTTTATTCGTCTCGAACTCGATCCGACTTTGTATCCATTAAATTTGAATCTGACTCGATTCAGAATATTTTTATTTTTTTATATTAGACTCTGATCCGATCTGACATTGTATAAATCATATTCGATCTTACTCGAAATTAATAAAATATTATTTTTTAAAATATAAAATATTATTTTTTAAAATATAAAATATTATTTTTTAAATATAAATATTTAAATATATAATTATATAAATATATATAAATAAAAAAAATAAAAAAAATTAACTTTTATATAAATATCGAATCTAATTTATCTAAAACTCAAATTTAATTTGATCTCAATTTTTTTTTAACAAAACTTGATCTGACTTAAAATTTAATTTTAAAAAAAAATTGATGATCGAATCAAAATTCATAAAAAACAAATTAGATTACCGACACTGATTCTATATCTTTGACTTTTATTCTTGTTACTAACGATCGTATATGCAATAAATGAACAATAACAATGCGAAGGTAAATAATTAAAATAAACTGTTGACGTCCATTAGTCTTTGGCTCAAAATTTGATTTATGTTTTCTCTACATAAAGAATTCGACTTAAATTTTCTTATTTTTTAATATAAAAATAATAAAATATTAGGCGTTAATATTAAAAGTGATCATGAATTGAATTAACATCAATTAATGCCACCAAAACCTGGCCTAGAGCCCAGCGTGGTCATGAAATCATTTTAAAGATTATTTGATTTAAAATTAATATTAAAATACATTTTATAATTAATATCTTCATATTTTTAAATATTTTTAAAAATATGTTTGGGACATTTAAAAGCTTAAACGTGTAAGGTGGCATAAAGTATGTTTTAACTAACTTTAATCTCCTATCATATAAAATTTTATATAAGTATATTAATAATTAAAAAATAATTTAACATATATAATTTAATTATCATTCGATTTTTTAATTTAATAAAAATATCCTTACAAATATTATTAAGACTTGATATGATTTATTATGAACCAATTTGATAACTTTTTTCGTTGCAAAAATAAAAAATTAAAATTAAAACTTTGAAAAAAAATTTATGCATGAACAAAATTTGAAACATTGTTCTGTTGGCAAGAAAATTATTTTCTCTTATTTTAAAAATACACTGCCATTATATATATATATATATAAATAAAAACACTAAAAAATATTATATAAAAATAAATGAATGAAATGAGAGATAATAATAATTAAATAAAGATTCAACGTAAAATAAAATATCTAATTTCCCATCTTTTATATAAACCCTCCCAAAACCCTCCTTTTTCATTCTTTACTTCCTATACTCGGAACATTCTCAGTCTCCCGAATGGCTATCCTCTCCAAAACCAAAAACCCTTCTTCCTTCCTCTTCCCTGTCTGCCGTTATTTATCTTCCATTTCCTCCGCTGTAGCTTTCTCATCCAAACCTCTAAGCACTTCATCGCCACCCTCTCCCCACTTCTTCCTTCGTCGCTTCCGTGCCCCACCTTTCTTTTCTCTTTTTGTTGGTGACTCCCTTTCTCCTACCGTCAAATAGTTCTCCACCCGAACAGTCAGGTCCTCCCTCAATGATCCAAATCCGAACTACTCGAATCGGCCCCCGAAAGAAACTATTTTGCTGGACGGTTGTGATTTTGAGCATTGGCTCGTCGTGATGGAGCCACCTACAGAGAATGCTACGAGGGATGATAATATTGATCGTTATATCAAAACCCTGACTCAAGTGGGGGGCAGTTATTATTATTGATTTTACTTTTATGTGTGCGTTAAATTTTTAAACTTATTTTTACTAATTGATTTTGGTTTTTATTAGTTATATTTATAGATCCTTACTTATTCATGTATTTGTTTTATAATACTGATGAAATAGTTACGATAGTTTCATTGTTATATTTTACCATATCTTTTTTATGAGAAAAATGATTCTATTGAGATTAGAGATTGCTGGATTACTCTTTGTTTTGAAAGTATATGATGCTTATTTTACAAGGTCTCTTAGGTTAGATTTTATGCACTGCGTCATGTTAGATTACTATTAGTGGCAAAAACTCCATTTATCAGCATGGTGATTGTAACTTATCATCTAACCATTGCAATTTTAGTATTTTTAGTAATGGCTTTCTATATGTACTTGTTTTATTATCACTCCACAACGGAATGATATTTGTAATGAGAAGTGCATGCGTTACTTTGTATATTATGGTTTGTTTATTTCCCGAGTTTCCCGTATACAGTGAGGAGGAAGTAAGAATGAAAATTTATTCAGTTTCTACCAGACACTACTATGCCTTTGGAGCTCTTGTGTCTGAGGAAGTCTCATATAAGATCAAAGGTGCATGTCCTCTTAAGTTATCAAATTTTCTTGTCAAAATGAAGTTTTAACTAAAGCTTTTACGGATGTTTTCATAATTTTTTATTTTCCTACAGAACTTCCTGGGGTTAGGTAGGTTCTTCCTGATTCCTACTTGGATGTGAAGAATAAGGATTATGGAGGTCTGTTTTGATTTTTTATCTTTAATATTTCTTCCATTGGATGTTTTTGTTTTAAGCTATTAGTACTTTTAATAAGCTATCATTTTTCAGGGGAACCTTTCATTAATGGGCAAGCACTTCCATATGATCCAAAGTATCATGAGGAATGGGTGAGGAACAATGCTCGAGCAAATGAAAGAAATAGGCCAAATGATAGGCCTCGATCAAGAAACTATGAGAGAAGAAGGGAGAACATGCAGCCCCGCAATGTATATTCATCATGAAGCAAAAGAAAAAGGTGGCAATGTGTTTTTGGGAATTGCTGCAGTATGCTGTTGCTGTAGGTTAAAATTATTGCTTGTGGGAGGGGAGGAGAGGACAAAGAAGGCGAAAATATATTTATTTTGGATGCTTAATTGTTAACATAATAATGTGTGGAAGGATATTAATGTTTAGTTTAGCGTTATTCACCCTAAAAATATCTATTTTTAATATAATTATATTTTGTTAATTATTAAAATTCATTATTTGCAAACTACAAAATACAAATGTATTTATAACTGTAATTTTTTTTATCTTTTTACAAAATATTTATATTTTATTGTACAACTTAACGTGTTTTTTTTTGTATATTAATTTTTAGGTTAAATGATGAACAATGTCCTTAAACTATAATAAAAAATTATTTAAGTCTTTAATATTTTATTAAAATCAATTGAGTTTTTAATCTTCTAACTTAATTAATTTCTAATTAGACAAAATTTAATCACATGACAAAATTAAATTAATCAATTATTGAATTACGATCAATTAAACCTTTAGAGAGATTTTAGAGAGAGGAGGAAAGAAAATAAAGAAGAAAAATAAAAAAAAATTATTTAATTTTTATATATGTTAATTATGCATGTGATCAATTTTAATTTATTTTATTGATATTACTTGAAATTTTATCTTATTTAAAAAAATTAATGGTGTTAACTTTTTCATCTAATTAAGAATTTAATTGGATGCAAGTAAATATTGAAAGAGTTGATTGATTGAAATAAAAAAAAAAACAATAGTTTAGATAATTTTTTAAT